TGATAAGATGCACGATCATGCAGTTTAAATTCTGTCTATTTATGGCAGCAAATGTTCCCTAAGGCAAATATTATTAAAGATAAAACATACACGCACACACACACACACACGCATGCATATATATATATATATATATATATTATTTATTATAATTTCTACATACGGACAAAAACAAATGGAGTACCTCGAGGCGGTGTAGTGGTTAGAAAGCTTGTCTCACTAGAACAATTACAACTGAGGATGTGAGTTCCATCCTCACTGGGTAGTCCATACTTTTGTCCTTGTGCCACATCTAAGCTACGCTTGGAAAATTACTACAGACAAAACAAGTTACTCACCACAAATTTGTTTTGTCCGTATGTAAAAATTATAATTATTGCTATACTCTTGGTATTGAGCCTTCTTTTGAATTAATGCTGTGAACGTTAGAATTTATATTATATTCGTTCACGTTATATATATATATATATATATATATATATATATCATTCTAATGATGTAAAAACTCATTTATTTCAAATAAATATTTTTTTCGCATTATCACATGCCTTATCAAACCACTTAATTCATTGACAAATATTAATCTCATATACCGAAGATCATGCAGTGAAAATGTTATATATATATATATATATATATATATATATATATATAGACGCAGTAAACAAATTCCCGCTTCCACCACGACGTAACGCTGTTCCTGATTCATCCTTCTATTCTCTGATCTCAATGACTCATCAATTGAAAAGCCAGTTCTTCTCCACGCTCCGTAAATAATCGAGGCTTTATATGCAAAGAAACTGCATGAAAAGAATAAAAAAAATAATAATTGTTTGTCTCACTTTTACTGAACGAATTGATTTCTTTTTTTCACAGGAAACATTTGAATGAATTTCAAGGTCAGGTAATCTATCTATCCGATTCTCTATCTATCTATCTATCTATCTATCTATCTATCTATTACGTATTTATAATCTCTGCTACAGTACAGTGACTCGCCTTTTCTTTACATGTGTTGTGATTCTTGCCAGGCGCTCAATATCTGCTGCCTTGTGCCAGAAGAAATTATGTCGAAATTACATAGTGCTTCATTTGTATCTGAGATTCCCGAATTCTTGAATTTATAGATAAAGAAATTGCCCCTGTAAACATGAACAAATATTTTTTCCTGTCTTTACTGGTGGACTGCGCTGCATTTTTAATGCTTGTTTTCCAGAATTCCGAGTTTTCATAGTAATGCCGGTAGGACTTCTAATCATGCATGCTTTTAATTTTTCAGTTTGTCATTTGTCATTTTTCCTGCATACCATGGAACCTGTTTTTCATCGGGAAGGGACAACTCCACACCGCCGACAGACCCCCGGGACAACTCAGGATTGAGACAACTCAAAACCAACACGACTCAGCACCAGAAAAAAAACATAACTTTTTTTTTATAACCAAATAAAAATAATTTATTAAGAATTAAAATCTTAATTAGTTAATATTTTTCTTTAAATAAAGAACTTCAAAAGGCATTATGTAAAATATGAACCAGTTTTTTGATTTTAATTATTTTAATAAAGTAAATCGCAAAAAAAAATATATATTTGTTTTTAATAAAGTAAATTAATATATATAAAAAAAATAATTCAATAAAGCATACTTGTTCGAGAAATCTTGTTGAAAAATACGCACCCTCCCGTTAACAAGATTTTTCAAATATTCAGGCCGGAAGGTGGAAATAGATAAATACACTGTTTAATAAAATAAATAAAAATAGAACATCTACTAAAATATGTGTAACCATTAAACGTAACGTTTAAGTATTAAATTAAATCATGTCGTATTATTAATGAAAAATCCATTCCTAAGAAATTTTAAACATTATGAGTACCCAGAGGATTTCTCTAGAGGTCAAATGATATTAGGCCTCCTCAATAATCCAGGATTCTCTTTATTATTCCAAATGGTTTTAGCAAATGTTGTCGTCAAGATGATTAATATTATCTCTCTCTCTCTCTCTCTCTCTCTCTCTCTGTCTCTCTCGAGCTAGCTAGTCATCTCAGCGTTTTCATATCCAAGTATATTCCGATATCCCTTTCTTTACATTATCTATCTATCTATCTATCTATCTATCTATCTATCTATCTATCTATCTATCTATCTATCTATCTATCTATCTATCTCCTTTCCACATCTCTCCCTCTCTCTCTTTATTTAATTCATTATTAACTAGCGTTGTTTTTTATCTATCTATCTATCTATCTATCTATCTATCTATCTATCTATCTATCTATCCTTTTTACTTTTTCTCTCTTTTTATATATCTAATTTATTCTTAACTAACGTTGTTTTTTTTATCTATCTATCTATCTATCTATCTATTTTTTACTTCTTTTATATATCTAATTTATTCTTAACTAACGTTGTTTTTATCTATCTATCTATCTATCTATCTATCTATCTATCTATCTATCTATCTATCTCTTTTCTCTCTCTCTCTCTTTATTTAATTCATTATTAACTAGCGTTGTTTTTTATCTATCTATCTATCTATCTATCTATCTATCTATATATATATATATATATATATATATATAACTATCTAGATCTTTTCCATTTCTCTCTCTCTTTATTTAATTTATTATTAACTAACGTTGTTTTTTTTATCTATCTATCTATCTATCTATCTCTTTTCCATTTCAATTTCTCTCTCTCTCTTTAATTAATTTATTATTAAATAACGTTGTTTTTATCTATCTATCTATCTATCTATCTATCTATCTGTGAGGGACGGCTGAAAACATGAATGTTAGTAGTGACACCAGTTGGTAGTCTAAAAAACATGCAAGTGTATCAGAATAAAACAGCTTGTCGGATGGCTCGTCGCTGCCTGTCTGTCGATAAACGAGTTATCTTAGTCTTTTAACATAGTGTATTCAGATATACCCCAGTTCATATCTGTCTCATTATTTCCATTATCTATCTATCTATCTATCTATCTATCTATCTATCTATCTATCTATCTATCTATCTATCTATCTATCTATCTGTGTTCGTACCTGTCTATATATCTGTCGATTGCGATGAGGTTGCTCGCTATCGATCGACGACAGGTTCCCGTAAATGGTTTCACCGGGACAATGGCAATACAAAAACAAAAATAAAAGGTAAATATCTGATACTAGCAGCATGGCCCGGCGTTGCCCGTGCTTGATTCAAAAATCGTACGACTCATACAGTAATCGCTATCACTTGACTTAAAATATTTTTGCCCTTCCTTGCCTTTAAAGGAGTGCCCTTTGCCGTGCTGATGTTGCTACATGCCTTACTTCTTGCCTGTCTCATATTGCGAATTTTTTCTAAGCTCTATACTAAACATTAAAACTGTTACGAAAAAAGAACTAAACAAAATGAACACAAAACGATTAGCTTTAAAAAAAAGGACTCGTAACTGGAAAAACCGAATGAAAAAAGAATGTTAACAACAAATACTTTTTCACACCCAACCCAGTTCTGCGGAATCAGAATCAACGTTGAGTTTAAGCAAGCGAATAAGCCAATTGGAGTAAAGTGCCATGCAGATTTAAATTTTTCCCACTTGTGACGAATGCAGCTATCGATTTTTTTGCATGCTAGCATACTAGTTAACATTCGTGTCAGTCAGCTATTGGCTCTCACGCTGGCCAATAGAATCTTCCTGCCTATTTGTGGCAGCCAGCTATAGGCTCTCACTCTGGCCAGTAGAAAATGGCCGCAAACTACATGAAAAGTGCCGTAGAAGCATGAAAAAATCGATTATTTCCACTATCGATGGGAGTTGGGAAATGCAAACTCGGTCTTGGCCTTTCTACTAACTTGGAGCATGTGCATGTAAATTTTGGTGCAAATCCGTCGAAAATTGCGGCCGTGCATTCGTTTCACACACACACACACACACACACACACACACACACACACACACACACACACACACACACACACACACACATACGTCCTGCCTTTTATAGATTGAGATAAAAATAGCAGAACATTTTCCTCTTGAGTTTTACTCGCTAAAAAAGTAAGTAAATAAATAATGAAATGATTTGAAAAACAAAAAAAAAAAAAAAAACAAAGAATAAAACGTCTAATTTTGCACATGTAAGTAATGGGCAAATATTGCTTACTTCGATGTTGTAGTCCATAATAGAGAGAATGAAGTGTTTATTTAATTGGCCTATGGCTGAGAATGAAGGACTGTAAACCATGAGTGAATCTGCAGATTTAAAAGCATTTGATAAGATGAAAAAAAGACACAGAATAAAATCTCGACCAGGAGAGTGGGAGAGCGAGAGAGACAGACAGACAAAGAGAGGAGGGGGGATTAACGCGTACAAAGAAATAAAGGGAGACATTTCTCGTGAAAAACAAAGAGAAAGAGAGAATGAAATATTTTTCACGAATGAGGAAATAAACAGAGAGAAAGAGAAATAGAGAGAACGGGGGAGAGAAGTAGAAAGCGAAAGAAATAGAAAGGGTGCAGAACTTCTCAAGAATTAGGAAAGAAAGTGGGAAAGAGGGAGAAGTGAGAAAGATAGTGAAAAATAGTGAGATAGAGAGTGAGAAAGAGGGAAAAAGAGAGTAAGAAAGAGTGTAAGAGAGTGAGAAAGAGAGTGAAAAAGAAAGAAAGAAAGTGAAAAAGAGGGAAAAACAGAGAGAAAAATTGGGAGAAATAAGAGAGGGAAAGAGGGAGAAGAAGACTGAGAAAGAGAGGGAGAAAGAGTGAGAAAAGTAATGAGAGTAAGAATTGAACGGAAATACGAGAAAACATTGGAGAATGGTCAAAGTCATTTACATACATCTGACAATAACCATATGTAAGGAGGAAGAATGTGTTGCGCCCAAACGGTAATTGATGAATGTCTACCTACCTTGAACAATCATATTTGAAATTGTGGCTGCTAATAGAATTCGAACACAAAAATCAGAGCAAGATACAGTAACGAGATAACGTTGGAGTGGAGTTATAACGGAAATTAATAAAGTGTGAGAAGAACAGATAGATAGATAGATAGATAGATAGATAGATAGATAATGGAAGAATGAAACTGATATATATCTGAATACACTTTGTAATTTTGGAAAGTGGGTCGGGTCGAGAACTTTCCAGCACTCACCTCGTAGATAGATAGATAAATAGATAGATAGATAGATAGATAGATAGATAATGAACAGTCGTAAAAATAAAGAGAAAGAAAAAGAATGTACACCCATAGATAGATAGATAGATAGATAGATAGATAATTATTTAGGCAGAGAGTGTGACAGATTGGAATTGGAAAAATGATATTATTCAAAATGCTATACATAATTAAAATAGAACGATACTGAAGAAGATAAAAGAAATGCAGAGAGGGAAAGAGAGGAAGAGAGAGAGAGTAGAAAGAAAAGGAGAGGATGGAAATAAATGAAGTGACAATAATTAAAGAGAAAAGGAATAAAAGAGAATGGTAGATGTTGACATATTCTATGGAAGTCTTAAAAAGCAGTAGAATTAACAACACTAGCTCGAAAAGAAGTTTTCGCTTTGGCTCCCCAAATAAATGATAGGAGCATAAACAAGAACCAGAACCAGAGAATAAAAACCAACATACTCTGCGACTTTAACATTTATATCCACCAATGGAAATGAAACTGTCAGATTTTATTACAGGGAATAAGGTGAAAGAACTGTGATAAATGAAGATTATAGCCATCCCAGGGTGAAGATGAAAGGGAATGAGAAGTTATATAAATACAACATTGAACAAGAACTTCAATGCTGTAGAACATGAAAGTAAAAGTAGTGTTCATAATTTATATTCCACGTGGAATGGTCTCTGAACTCTGTACAAAGAAGCTCAAGAAGATGTGACTCTTGAACAGTTAAAATAATGCCGACCAAAGAAGAATTAAATCTGTTAGAAAAGGTCTGAAAATTCGAAGATTTTGGGGTTGACTTTATCCCCGTCCTGGGTATGACAATAAACTGCATCCGGCAGAAAAGCCTCTGATCAAAAAATTTTGAAGAGCAAGGAGCAAACTCTTCATTGCTAGTGTTCCCAGGTCCACCCTGATCCGCGGTTGTAGTTCCTGTTAAGGTCCCAGATATGGGCAAATAGTTAACCACGAATCTGGGGTAAAAACACTATGAAAATGTAAAAATAGGTTTTAATACCAGCAAAACCTATTTTGAAAAAAAAATTACCAGCAATATATTTTTGAAAAAAAATTTTACCAGCAATAAAAAATCTTGTTGGCATTAAATAACCCATTTAGGTTGATATGCCGTAAAATAAAATAAACCAAACCAAACTTGTTTTCATAACATTTGTTTTTGTAGCCAAACAAGATTAACATTATTCTGAGTTATTTTTGAGTTTTGCGCGCTTTTAATATTTCCAAAGAACATGTCGGCATTTCTTTTTCATTTTTCACATTCATTTTATTCTATTTATTTCGTCCCCCTCTTTTTTTTGCTTTGCTTTCATTTTTTTCTCATTCATTTTCACTATTTCATTTTCTGCATTTCTTTCCTTTTCATTCCTTTTCTTATTCACTCTATTTATTTCTGTCCTCCTCCTGCCTTTTTTTTCATTCCACTTTCATTCCTTTTCTCATTCATTTTTTTTCTCTATTTCATTCCGTCTTTTGCATTTCTTTCTACTTTCACTTTCATTCCTTTTCCCATTCATTTTACTCTATTTATTTCGTCCCTCCTTCTGCCTTTTTTCTACTTTCACTTTCATTCCTTTTCTCATTCATTTTACTCTCTCTATTTCATTCCGTCTTTTGCATTTCTTTCTACTTTCATTTTCATTCCTTTTCTCATTCATTTTACTCTATTTATTTCGTCCCTCCTTCTGCCTTTTTTCTACTTTCACTTTCATTCCTTTTCTCATTCATTTTACGCTCTTTATTTCATTCCGCCTTCTGCATTTCTTTCTACTTTCACTTTCATTCCTTTTCTTATTCATTTTTCATTTTTTCGTCCCCTCCTTCTTTTTTTCTTCCTTTCATTCCTTTTCTCATTCATTTTACGCTCTTTATTTCATTCTTCCTTTAGCCTTTCGTTCTACTCTTTCATTCCTTTTTCTTTCGTTATTCTCTCTTCATTTCATTAATTTCTCTGGTTTTTCTTTCTGTTTTCTCTTTCATTCATTCATCTCAACCTTCATTCCTGGCTATCTCTTTTTTCTTCCTCCCTCTCCTTATTCGAGCTTACATCAATATCACATTGAAATACCTGTTCTCGTACGATCGCCGAAGTTAAACAACGTCGAGTCTGTTTAGTAACTAGATGGGTGACCACTTGGGAATACCAGGCTATATAAACTTAGATGTGCGGGTGGTGCAATGGATAACGGCTCAAAATTGTTAATCGAAGAGCCAAGTTTCAATTCCAGTTCGTTACATTCACTTACGCGCAAATACGCTTAGGAAATATATGAATCCACCTATTCTCCCCCCAAATATGGGTTAATTAGTAAGACTATTATCAACAAATTATTATTATCTAAAAAATTCTTACAATCTAAAAATATCTGCTGGCTTTAAATACCCTGTAAGGGGTTGATAAACCGTAGAAAAAGAATTACTCTTTTTCATTCCATTTTTACTCTTTTTCATTTTGTCGTTTCTCTCTCCTCCTTTCTCTTTCATTCCACACTTTCTTTCCCATTTTTCTCTTATCTTTTTTCTTTTCCCTCCATCTCACTTTCTTCTCCGTCTCTCTTTCATTTTACTTTCTTCTTTTCAGTTTTCTCTCTTTTTACTTTCCTCTCACTCGCTTGTTGTCACTTGATCTCCAACCTTTACCAGCAAAGACCAGTGGTGAAAAATTACACCTAACCATTGTTTTGAAGAATAAAAAAAAAAAATGAGACTTTCCTTTTTCGAACTTCAAACGAATCCCCTAATTCCGGAGAGGGGGCCAGGCCCAGTTGGTATAAACAAAGAGGATTGGTCGGGTATTGGATTTCAGTTTTATAACCAACCACAGAATAAAACCTAAAAGTTGGATAGATATCCAGACTTTGCCAGAGAAATGAAAAAAAAGGTGATAGAATAGGAAAGACATTGTTTTACACATGAAATGCTTAAACACCTGGAAAGATTTTTTGCAATAAGTTAGAATTGCCAAAGCCTGAAAGAATTGAATCTCTGAAGTAATTGAAATAGAATCTTTAGCTGAGTCTTAACACATAAAACGGGTGTGAGTGAGATAACCTTAAAACTTACCAAAAATGATGTCTTGTTTATAAAACCAGACAGCATCAGAGAGATTTACTTTTAAGCAATCCAATAAGACTGAATTTGATTATACAGTGGAACCTCGGTTTATGAATTTAATTCGTTCGTCAAGGTCGTTCGTAACCCGAAATGTTCGTAAACCGAAACTATTTGTCCAATAGGAATCAATGTAGAGAAAAAAAGAGCATAGTACAATAAAATTGGAAAAGAAAAGCACATCTCAACACACGAATGTATACAACACGGCGGTCGACCCAGAAAGGATTCCATTTGGGTTAACTCGGTTTGGCTCGGTTCGGCAATTTTATTCGAGAACCGAAATTTTGTTCGATAACCGAAGCATTTTCATCTCGAATTTTCTGTTCGAAAACAGATTTGTTTGACATGTGAGACGTTTGAGAACCGAGGTTGCTCTCTGTTGCGGCTCTTGTCCCAGTTTCCAATTTGTCTCAGTGGCCTTTTCAAATTTTAAAATCGACGTATTTTGGTTTGATTCTAATGTTAAAGGGAGAATAAAATAAGTAATAGTTTGGACATATTGTTTTTTGTTTTTTTGTTTTTTTATCAAAGCTATATTTATTCGAGAAATATGTCAGAATACGCCAGAACTACATGCAGCAATCAGTTAAGTGCCATTTGGTTGATCATGTATCTTTCGATACAACCAAGGCTAAAGAACCGAGTCTGTCCTCCTATTCAACCTGTAAATGGGAGAAGAAGATATGGATTCATACATTTCCCTGTGGTATTTGTGAACGAACTCGACTGGGATTCGAACTCGGCTCTCCAAGTTCTCATTCCGAACCGACATTCATTACACCCCAGTAGAAATAAGCGCGTAGTCTTCTCAATGAATTTATTCAACCTTTACAGAGAAGCTATTCTAAGCGATCTATAGAGACTAACAGAATTTAATATCTGTAGGCACAATCTTAAACAACATAAGATGGACATATGACACTGTGTTGGTGGCCGAACAGAAAGAAAACTACAGACCCCCCCCCACTGATAATCTAATAAAGGAAAGAGAGAAGAAAGGACTAATCACCAGTTGTAAGTAGAAAGAATCTATATTTGTCAGTAAGAGAAAAGTTCAAGATGCCCGCTACGAATTAGTGATGTCAAAATCAAACAAGTTGTTATATACCGTACCTATGAACATTAATGAGTATATCCCAATCCTCATAAATACGTTGGTCATTATTGTAAGTGGAGGTAATATGCTGTCTAAGAAGTCCATCAGTGGTTTAACTTCACGCCGCTGGCGAGTATTTTATTTTGTTTGTTATAAAGATTAACATTTCAAAAATTAAAAAATTAAAAATTTGGCGCCTTCCTTGATGAATTTCATCTCAATATCAAGAAACTGATTTGGCAACTGGAAAGGATCAATATGAAAATAAGTAGACTCAATATTATTATCTGGAAAATATTAAAATAATAATTTTAATGAGTGAGTTTTACTTTAGCCGTGATCTTTTGCCAGTTGATATTTATGAAGACAATAATTTCACTGTTTTTAAGGCTAAATCATATGACACTTAAAAAATCATTTTTCTTAAAGCAAAAGAAAACGTAAAAAATTAAAAGAGTAGGAAATACAATTAATGGGAGAAAGAAAGAAAGAAAGAAAGAAAGGCAAGCGGTCAGAAACAGGATGAAAAGAAAAAAAAAACAAGCAGTTTAACCATGCAAATAAGAAAGAAAGAAAGAAAGAAAGAAACAAAAACAAACAAAAAACAAACAAACTGTTATATACCTACCTCTAAACACTAATGAGTATGTCTCAATCCACATGAGTAGATTGGACACTATTGTAAGTTAATTTTTGTCTATGTAGTCCATCACTAAAGTGGTTTACCTACTTCATGTCGCTGGCGAGTATTGTGTTTTTTTTTCATATTATAAAGATTACCATTTCATTTTCAACCTCCGTTTTGGTTATTCCTCATTTAGTAACCCTTCCTAGGTTACAACATTTTGGCGACGAGGATGGCATATATCCATTAGCGTTCATAGGCACGGCATATAACACAAGTATAGAAGTGGAAATATCTGGGAAGTATTTTAACAGACAACGAAAAATGTGACACCGAAATCCGAAGGTAAAATGGAATAGCAAAAGATGACTTTCAAAATCTAAACAAAGTATTAAGAAACAGGAAAAACTGCTGAACTGCTATGTAATATAAAGTGCTAAACTGTTATGTAACATAAATTCTTCTATATGGTAACGGAGATGTGGTTCTACAGAAGTATGCTCAGAATACCATGGGCGGTTCATGTAGGCAACGAGGAAGTTTTACAGTAAATGGAAAGAAAGGGACACTTATACTTAGAATCGGATACGTCATTGAAATCATGTAATGGCGTCATCTTCTGATATAGTCCGTCTTTTCATATGGCTAGTAATGTTTCTGTTATTGCAAAATCACGTTGTTGCAAAATATTCATTTTGGGGACGGAATTGACTTTAAATATCTCTCTGCCTTTTCTCACTCTCTGGCCGGCCGTTCGATAACTTATTCGCTGTTTGTTGTTAAGTAAATAATTCTTTTTAAAGCAATTCGCTCTAAGCAAGGCGGGAGTGCCACTAGCACGCAAGGGGTTACAGAGGATTGAGAACAAGAGTAAAGAGGTGTGTTTGGGGAACGGATACAGAGAAAGACGGGGAACAAGCTCAAGGTATCAGATGTCGATTGACATTACACTTGAATATTTGAAGATTATAGTCATCGGGGAAGCAAGTAAGGGGAAGGGAATTCCACCGATGGGAAGTGTGAGAGAAGAAGCTGTTTGAGTAGAAGAGACGGTTACATTTAAGTGAAAGGGTAGGATCGAGATGCCACTCTGGTAGCTTGCTTAAATTCAGGCAGTCCGGGAACCAGCTCGTCGAAACAGTTGCCGTGAAAATATTTGTAGAAGAGACAGAGGGAGGCCACGGCACGCCTGTTGGGATAGCGATGCCAGATCAGGTCCTATCATCTTGCATATTCTTCTCTGGATTTTGTTGAGGACCTCGTGACGTACAGCGAAAGCACCAGACCATATATGACATCAATATTCCGTGCAAGGACGGATGGCTAATTCCCTGCGCGTTGTGGTGTGATGGATAACGCCTCCGAAAGCGGAGTTGTTGAGCCGTGTTCGAATCCCAGTCAGGTTCGTTACATTCACTTATGTGTAAATGCCCTTGAGAAAGGTATGTATTCATCTCTGGGTGTTGATTTCCAGAATAGACTGGATCTTATAAGCAACCAGTTTATTTAAGAAAGAAACGGCAACCTACTGCGTGAAAAAAAAACTTCTAGACAGTTATGAATCACAAGGAACATGATCGTGTATCACGTATGGCACATGACTGACTGATTTGCTGAATTCTTCTGTCGATTTTGTTTTCAACATATCCTGTGCGTGTTAAATTTTACAGGCCTTTTTTTCTCATTATGCATCAACACTATAAAATGACAGTCATTATTACAGCATTTGGCTATATTTCTGAGATGAGGTATCGTAATTATTGACATTATTTAAATTGTTCGAGTTGATGTTCTCATCTTTGTTGCCATATTCACTATATGAATAAGGCAATAAATATGAAGACAACAGTCCGAACAAGTCAACAATGTAAATTATTACAGCAATTTATAATTGTCGCAATAATAATTCTCTTTATGATTGGTTTCCATTCATTGGTAATATTTGTACAAATATTTAATGACTGAATTTGTTCTTGGACTTTTGATAATTATGAAGCTTATTGATTTATTTAATGATGGCCTATTTTTCTTTGTCAGCGAGAAAAAAATAGAATCATGAACGTTTTTTAAGTACTGGACTTTCCCCACCCCCCTTTTTTATTATAGCGGAGTTTGTGTCTGAAAATAGCTTCACGTATAACTATAAGTGTTTTTTTAATATTCATCTCCATTATGTCTACCTTTTCAATTAGATCGAAGACGTTATAGTAATAAATGCAATAATAGACTTATCGTTTTTCACTGGCTGACCAACTAGAACGCCAACAAGATTGCTTCCGATTTTAATAATTTGTTTTTTAGTAACAAAAAATAAAATAAAAATAAAAAAATATATATATATATATATATATATATATATATATATATATATATATGAGGAGAGTGTGGGAGGAGGGAGAGAGAAAGAGGGTGAGTATCTGTCTTAGGAAGAAGAAAAATAGAAGAACAAAGAGAGACAAATTTAATGAACGGAAGTGAACAAAT